AAACTTCTCTAGCACAAAATTTCTGTCTGATTAGCCTTTACTCTTTTATTCTCTGCAGTGCATGCATTTTCATATAAGCAGTATATATTTTGCAATATGTTTAAATTTGATAGCTCTGCTAAATCCTCCTGAGACTCTATCTTTTCTTGGCAATTATTTTTTTTACAGCCTATTAGTAAAATTTTTATCATGTGATTTTTTCAAATCCATCCATAGTAAAATCAAATATATTCTGTATAATATTTTCCACTACTTTCTTCTTATGTAATTGAGATTCTTCATTCTGAGTTACAGAAGAGGCTCTGGAGGGAGCAGATAAATCCTCTATAAATAATTCATACAATAATTTCTTTTCTCTATTCTTCTGCCTAATCTCATCGCTAACTCTTTTCTTATACACCTTATCTAAGAAAGTATCTGTCTCCCTTTTTTTTACTAACTTGATGTTTGCATTATTATTAGGTACTCTGATCACTTTGTGAATAGGCTGATCTATAACTGAATTGAAGTTAGATGTACTATTATTAGAAGGGTTATTATTTTTTTTACAAATAAGCACATGTTGTTTGGGCTGAACTATAGAATCATTAACAGCTGATACCTCTGGTAACATCTCTAATATCACTTCCTTATCATTCTGTAATTGTCTATCTGCTGCTAAACCCTGTTCTAATAATGCAAATCTAGCCTCAAGCTCTCTGACTCTAGACTTGAGTTCAGCATTCTTAGTATCACGTCTTGCATTCTCTTCAATAATTTGCTTCAACCTTACATTCTCAGCCTCAACCTCAGTATATTTTTTTCTAAGTTCACTAATTTTAGCTACAAGCTTAAAATTCTGTTCTTCTAATAAATCAATTTTAGATTGTGTGTTTGCCATTGTATTTATATAAGATAGAGAAATATTCAAAAGCTTAATAAAAATTATATGAAAATGCATGCACTGCAGAGAATAAAAGAGTAAAGGCTAATCAGACAGAAATTTTGTGCTAGAGAAGTTT